ATAAGATTTCACAATAATGTAGAATATAAGATGGAAACATTAGCTGGAGTGTTAAATGCTCTCATAAATACTACAATAAACAAGGATAACGAAGAAAACTTAATGAATGTTAAACTTATTGCAGGAGTTTTGAAGTTCAGTTATGCGAAGGAGTTTAAGATAACAATGAGTCATAGAGTACAATTCTTTTGGGTGCATACCATATGACATTTCCTTTGAAAAGTGTTGACAAAACGATTGAGATGAAATCTGTTCCATACGTATGTTATGGTAATTGTTTGTACATTGAGTCTAAAATAGCTAATGTCACAGGCATTTCAGGAGTTAATAGTAAAGGTTCAGTAGAATATAAATCCTTCTGTTATGCAGTCAATTCAATGTTCATTCCAAACGTTCCTGTCATAGCAACTCATTTAGGTAAATGGGTTCGCATTAGTCCTCATAATTTGAAAGACATGCAATTCAGACTTGTTGACTTTCAAGGAGAGCCTGTAGAACTGAAGGCACCAGTGCGAATGACTGTTGAAGTTGACTTTTTAGAAAATATTAAATGCAACAGCTTACAAGAGAACTCAGAGCTAAAAATATAAAGTATGAATGTTATGTATTAGGTCATGAACTTTGGTTGTTGCTGTTTGATGAAACAAATGAATTAGTTATGTCAGTCAAGAGAACAGAAAAATATTGTGTTAGTGAAAACTGCACCAAGTCAATAAGATTAGGTTTGCATTATGAAGATGAGTTCGATACTGTTGAAGAAGTTTTGGATAGATATTACAAATTGCTAACTTGAAATTTTTTTGACTGACGGCGCAAAGCGCCAAGATGGGCTCAAAGAGCCCTCCTGACTGCTTTAATTTACTAAAACATATTTCAAACAAAGTTATATCAGTAGATAGTTTTGTATACTCGTTCGAATATTTATACTTAAACTCAACTCCTGTAGTTCCTGGTGTTTCAATGATGCGGATGTTACCTATTTTCATGAATGTGGCGTTTGACCACAGCATTCGATTTCAGGGTCGAGATAGTCAATGACACATTGTTTCCCTGTTATTCGTGAGATATAATTTTCAAGGTCCTCCTTTGTTAGAATTATTTGGTTCTTGCTTATAAGATTTGTCAAAAGCTTCTTATCGTCTTTGAGTAAAATTGTTTGGTATAACTGAAGAAGGTAATGGTCTACGTTATCTGAAGGATTTGTTTGAACATTTGTGTAAGGGTTGTCGTTGGCTTCTCTTGAAAGAATTTGGTCCAGTGGTGGATACTCTAACTTAACATCTGATGTAGCGTTAGCGTTTGAAGCTGAGTTTAAATTCACGGATTTCAGCTCTGGTTCTGGTTCTTTCAAACACTCTGAACTATAGTTCTTTATGACAATATTGTTTGTCGTTCGTGAGTCAACATTTGATGTTGGTTCAATTGGAACATTAACGGCACCAGCTAAGATGGATTTGCTTCTCATTTCATATAGAATAAAAACCTTTTATATGTATGAAATGAACAATATACTCGACAAGGGTTTGAATGTAAAGCTAACGAATGAAAATATTGTTGAATTCACTGAGACAGGTGCTGTGTATAAAGATGTAGAACTACTGAACAAAAGAGCTAAGGGAAGAAGCAGGAACATGAACAAAGGGTGGAAGCCTATAAAAATTTATGTCAATGATGGCTCAGGAGGTTCAAACATAAAGTATGCAGAAAGTTATAGAGTTTATGCTCTCAAAGGTGAAAAGCCTTCATTTAAGAACAGCTATTCTAACGCATATCCTCAAAAGCTAACGGATGGGAAGTGGATGATATGAATGACAGCAAAAATATTAACAGAAATGGCGACAGAGATGCATGGAATTTGTTTACCATCAGTCAATTGAAGGTTAAACTTTAAAACAATGTTGGTCGTTCCCATGGAATATTTTTGACTTTAATGGTATTAGTCATGATATGAATCTCAAGGTATGAACGAGGAGAGATGAGAGACTTATATGCTTCCCAAATTTCTTCAAAAGGTAATGTTATACCTGACTGTTTCCAAATGAGTTCAATATCATAGCGTGAGAAACCTTGAAAGATAACGAAGTCAGTTATGAGACGTTTTATGTTTAAAGCTAAAAACCTCCATGTTTGCATAAGTATTGCTACAGTTAAATGGTAATGTCTGACTTTAGTAATGATGTTAGCTAATGGTGAGTCTGGTTTTGACACTAAACCTTTTCCGGCGAAGTCGTCACAAACTAATAAAGTGTTTGAAGGATATTTTTTGAAGGGGTATTTTGAAAGTTTTGACAGAATGTAGTTTGTAAGTCGTTTCATATCGTAAACTCCTGAGTATTGACGTAAGTGGTGTTTGTCAATAATTCTTTCCATCTCCTCAGAAGTCTTTTGCATTCCTGACTGTATAAATTCAACGATGGCATAATATTTCCTCTTACGTCGAATGTAACGTTGAAGAAATTCAATGAGTTCACTGTCTGGAACTTTAACGACAGAGGCTTGAACTTTTGACATAAATGTTTTCGCTGTTGAGTCCATAGAGTCTGAAGTTGCTGATATAATGATTTGGTCATAATATGAGTCATTTCCTAAACGCTCTGTTATGAGTATATGACGAATGAGGTTGAATGTCTTTCCTGACCCCATCTTTCCACAATAGAAATAAACACCATTTGAACAGAACTCATAGTCCTTACTGAAAGGAAGAATGAGAGAAGAGTTAAGTTTGTCTGTAGTTTCATTCATGTCTTCATCTACGTCATGTATTAAATGCTTCATTTTATCTCCATTAAAAATGCAAGTCAGAAATATTCAGAACATAGCACCGAGTCTAACTGACAAGAGTATAAAGATATACTATGAACATGTTATGATGAAACCAACCAAAATTCAAGAAAGTCAGTATACTTATGAATATCCAAGACACTGGGTAGAGTATGTAGGAGGTGAGAAAGCTATTGAAATCAGACAGGTTCGAAGTATTCCAGCAGGAAGAACAATATTATTGAAGAACTTTAATGTTTTGAGATATAATGATGAAACAAAGAAGCAAGATAGTTTCCTGTTGCTGTGTATGTGAACCTAGACACAGGAGATGACATGAAAGTTTTTAATACAAAGCTTCAAACGGTAGTGAGAGAACAACTGACTGCGGAAGGACATCCATTACCTTCAGAAGTTACCATAGCATATAATTTTGAAACAAACTCAATAGATTTTAAAGTCATCTCTGCAAAGAAGTCAGGTTTTACATTTAATGAAGCAGATGTATATTCGAATGAAAACTTCAAAGCTATTGCATGGTTAGATAATGACGATTGCTTTAAGAAAATATTTAAATACAGTGACTCAACGATGTCAATAGATGACCTTCGTGGAATGTTACCATCGACGTTTACAGTAGAAGGTTCAGCAGGATTGCTTACAAGATTGTCAATTGGTGGTATTTGGTCTCGTGAGAACATTGTTATAAAATCCAGTATAAGTGAATTTGCTGAAGAATCTATATTATGTCTTTCAAACTATATGTATTCGCCGCCAAAGCATTATAGTATAACAAACTTTGTCAGTAAGTTTAACATAAGACTTGTCGAACCTTCTTCGATGAAAGATGTTGTGCTACCTAAAGATGGAAAGGATGGACTCATTATTGAGATGATTTTAATAGCATATTAAATGAGCTTGTTCTTGAAGGTCATTCATGATGAAATAACTGTTGTAGAAGATGTTAGCAATTGTTCAGACATTTTGAAGCGTATAGATGATATAAGAAAGAAGTTAGATAGACCGCAAAGCGGTGAGGGCGAAGCCCGTGAGAACGCTTATGTTTCATTGACTTTCTCCAGTAACGAGAACTTTTATGAGATAATATTGAAGAGAGATGATTTTAATATGGTGTAAATGGTAGCTTGGGCAGCTTTAGGCGCAATGGGAACAAAAGCATTAGCATTTGGAGCAAAAGCACTTGGAGCTTATGACGCAGTAAATAAAATGAGTGGAGGAAGAGTTTCGAAGACATTAGATGCAAATAAAGGGAAGATTGGAGGCTGGGTTGCAAAGAAGTTAAGATTAAATAAAATAGGGCTCATAAATAAAGCATCCAATTTGGTTGCGACTGAGTCAGAAAATGCTTTAGGAAAGGACGATGAGTTTGCAAAACACGCAAAAGACTTTAATGACCAGATGAAAGGTGAAACAATGCATTTAAATAGAGTCGATGGAACTAAAGAAAATGTTTCTTCTCCACCAGTAGTTCTTCCGTATGGTCCCTATGGAATGTATGGAAACCCTTACGAAAGACCATTTGACCCATTGACTGGTGGAAGTAACTGGTATCATTACGGCCGAAGAAGAAAGACAGTCAAGTTGGAGACAGACGTGAAGAAAGCAACTAAAAAGAAACCAAGGAAGAGAGTTATAAAGCAATGAATTCAACAGGGTGAAAAAACAGGTGAAAAAAGAGGTGAGATCTCACCACTTCACCTAAATTTATTTTTGTGCTATGTTTTCATACGTGTGAGGGTGGTGATATCATTAATTTTTAAGTTTATTTTTTATTTTATTTTTTATTTGGATGTAAATGACAGAACAAAAGCAACTCATACAAATCGAAAAATATAACAAACATACATTTAAACATTTATTCTTCCTTCCTGAGCATAACATGTTCTTTCAAATACATCCGAGACCAGTTGACTTTTCATTGACTGTGTATAAAGATAGAAATAGTTATATCATTAAACCATATGATGACGAAGGTAAGTTATGTAAATTGTACGTTAAGAAGTTAGAGAAAGTTTATGGCTTCAAGTATGACTACAATAGGGTTAACATTGATGATGAAGATATTGAGGAAAATTTATGAGAACATTAGTGAAGTCGTTAGTGAGAACGATAGTGAGAACGTTTATTTTTACATTAGTGAGTTCGTTAGTGAAGTGGTTGGCGGCTTTGTAAATATTTAAGGTTAAGTTAGTGTTGTCGTTTGTGTTGTAAAATATACGTTAACGGTTTTGTAAAGTGTCAAATTCACATATAATGGGTAAGGTGGAACGCAGTGCCGCCGTACCCTTGATATGTTTACTAACTATGGTAACATTAAATGCTATACCTGTTGCGTCAGAAATTTCTTGTACTTTACTTTGAGGAAAGTCTCTAACACGAATGACTTCTCTCATGTGGTCAATAGTCTCTCCATCTACTCCAGCCTGAATGCAAGCATAAACGAAACAATTGTCTTCTGTCATAAGTGCTGCAGTTCTTTTGTTCAATTCATTGAAGATTTGGTAGCGCTCAAGATTTATAGGTAATGTGCAAAGATACTTCCAGAACTGACCGCTTCTCTTCTTATAAAACTTCTTTTCACCATTATCTTTCCAAAAGCTTTCTATAAGTGCTGGGTTTCCTGTTTGCTTAAGAGCTTCCAAAATGGCTTTCTGGTCATTTGTCAGTGTGCTTTCATCTCTATATGGTCTCTTTTTTGGTTTGCCTTTCTTTACATCTGACATCGTTAAGCCTTCATATTCTGTTAAATCATACATCTTTATTTCAGTAAGATTCTTTATGTTTGTCAAGAAGAAGTCATAGTGCATTTCAACAATACCTGCAGCATTTGCTTCTATCTCTGATATAAAGTTCTCCTTCAAGAGCTGATGTAGTAATGTTCCAATATTATTGAGGTTTAACGTAGAACATTCATACTTTCCACCAAGTTTATAACATACCATCCATCTCTGTTGTGAGTTTATTTTAATTTTCTCTAAGAGTCTCATGAAAACCTTACCGAAATGTTTGTGTAAGTAGTCTCTGTTTGGTTCATCTAAAGCTTCGATGTTAAAGTCAATGAGTCTATTGCCTGACTTCACATTTCTCTTCCTATTCTCTTCATCTTTCTTTAACCATCTCTCACCTTCTTTTGGTTTGTCGTCAATGGAACGAATGACATCGTTAGCTTTGCGAACTTGTTCTATAGCGCTCTTAAACATCTCTCTTCTCTGTTGTTTCAGTGTGTCGTCTCTTCTTCTTGTTTCACCAACGTTTGCATTTGTTATGTCAAACATTTCTCTTCTTACTTCATGAGGTACTGAACGTCTATGATATAAGTCAATAGCAACGTCATTTAAAGGAAATGCTCTTGCATGGACTTCGTCCTCGCCGCGTTGCGGCTTTATGAACTCATGAATTCTATCATAACTTATTGCACCATTATAGTCTTTAATGAAGTCAGCGAGTGCTTTTTTGTTTGTTGCGTAATGCTTTGCAACATCTATATTAGCTTCTGTAAGAAGTTGTTTTATTTCCGAGTGTTCTAACTTAGACAACTTCCGATACATCTTTAGTAGGAAATAAAAAAATATTTTTTGAAAAAATTAGATTAGATTTTTTAAAGTTATTTTTCAAAATAATTTAATATTTTTATTTTAATGAAACACATGCAAGATTGCAAGTTCTTTTCATACAATGCTCTCGCTACTGCCATCAAGAATGAGTTCAATAATGCTTCAAATGTTAATGTTATCTTTAACAAGAAGTTTGTGAAAGAATCTAAGTTTGGTCAGTATGTCAGACCATTAGCTATCGTCATTGACCGCAAACGTTATACTTCACAAGAGTTAGCAGTAGTTTTGAAACAAAAGAGTTTCTTCGTGAATGTCAAAGATACTCATTATACTGTTATAAAGAACTCTAATATTGACTTCTTCAGTATTGCTTTAAATCTTTCCGAACAGAAAGAATATAAGAAGGGTGAAACAAATGTGAAATATTATCCTTCATCTCTGAAGACAATAACAAACAAAGATGTTATACAGAAATTCTTACCAAAGGTTGAAGAAGCTTCTATTGACATTGACGAAGGAAGTGAAATGGTTGAAGAAATTGACCCTGAAGCTATTTAAGCAAAAATATATTTTTGGTTAGTCTTCATATCGATATTTTACAACAATTCCCCAATGTATAAACTTTTCATACGCTTTTTCATAAGCTTTATATACCTTCAGAAATTTTGCATAATCTTTAGAAGCATTTAGATATTGTTTAAATGCTTTGTATGTCTTCAGAAATTTTGCATAATCTTTTACATGTTGTTCGTTCTCTTCTTCTGTCATGAGTTCCGAATATTCTAAATTCATGTTCTTTCATATGAGATAAAATTTTATAAAAAAATAAAATTAGCTTAGATTTTTTTATTCTTCCTCTTTGAAGTTATCGAAATATTCTGTTATTTTTTCCTTCAGTAATGTTAAGTCTTCTTTGAATGTAAGTATTGTGCAACCTTTGATGTCATAGTGTGTTTGAGGAAGAGTATTTTTGACAATTTCCTTTATTTGCTCATTCGGTGTCATTGAAATCGGTAAGTTTTCACGATAGAACCAGTTTCTGTCAGATTTATATATTTTAGCTAAGTCATAAAAGCTCTTGTTGTTTCTTCTGACTAAATGCAACATAACCATATCTTTATCTTCTTCTTTCTCCAACTCTTCAGTATATATCATATACTTATAACTCTTTTCCTTTCCTTTTGGTACTGAACGCGGTATTCTTTTCTGTATGCTTTTGTCTTTGGATTCAATGACTTCATCTTTTGCTTGAAGTTTCTTTTCCATCTCTCCACGTTCTGCTTTATATAGTTCATCTAACATCATGAAAATATAACAAGCATAACGAGGTGAAGCCCACATTGCTACAGCATTTACTAAAAGTCTATGAGTTAGTATACCTAACTTGGGTACGGCGGCACTGCGTTCCACCTTACCCAAGATAACAGTTTGACACTTTACAAAACCGTTAACGTATATTTTACAACACAAACGACAACACTAACTTAACCTTAAATATTTACAAAACCACCAACCACTTCACCTCACTAACGTTTTCACAAACGACTTCACTACTGTAAAAAAAATAAACGCTCTCACTTACAAAAGTATTGCAACTCCTCCCATTGCTGTGCTTCACATAACAGTTCATAATCTTCTGACTCACTTTCTTCTTCATATAGGTCAAAGTCACTGTCAAAATAAATGTATGTAAGTTTTGACAAAGCTAATGAAACACGCTTACCGTTTGTATCTATTGCTTTTATATATCTCCCATTATGTTTGTTGTCATAAACGCTCAAACTAACTTTACCCTTTCTCCCTCGTATCTGATAGAATGTATTTTCACGAGGAACGAAGAACAAGTTCTTGAACTCATGACCGTTGTAGTTTGTTATCTCAATAGTTTTCGTCATTTATATAAAAATAAAATAAAAAATAAAATAAAAAATAAAATAAAAAATAAATAAACTCCTCAGACTACTCCTCGGTCTAATCCTCAGACTCCTCCTCAGATTATCCTCAAACTCCTCAGATTAGCCTCAGACTCCTCCTCAGATTATCCTCAAACTCCTCAGACTACTCCTCAAACTCCTCGGATTATCCTCAAACTCCTCAGACTACTCTTCAAACTCCTCAAATTATCCTCAGACAACTCCTGAAACTACTCCTCAGACAACTCCTCGGATTATCCTCAAACTCCTCAGACTACTCTTCAAACTCCTCAAATTATCCTCAGACAACTCCTGAAACTACTCCTCAGACAACTCCTCAGATTATCCTCAAACTCCTCAGATTATCCTCAAACTCCTCAGACTACTCCTCAAACTCATCAGATTATCATCAAACTCCTCAAACTACTCCTCGGTCTAATCCTCAGACTCCTCCTCAGATTATCACTTTACATATATATATCGATAATTAAATAATTACTTATTATACTTTCTTTATTTTTTTTAATTTTAAAATAATATTAATATATTTTTCTACGTTTAATGATGAAAAGAGAAAGAGGAGTAAAAAGAGGAAAGAGAAAAGAAAGAGAGAGAGAAAAAAAGAGAAAGAAAGAAAGAAAGAAAAAAAAAAGATGGCGATAATTTTGTATTGTTTTGTTATTCGGCCGAATGGCGGGTACAAAGTACCCGCCATTCGGCCCCAAAAATGGCGTATTATTCTATTTTTAAACGGTCATGGCGTAAAACCGTCGCATCCCTAGTCTGGCAAAAGAATCTGTGAAACTTTTTCACAGCCATAAAATGCACATGCTTCTATTATTTTAAGTTTGCTGCACATTGTTAAATTAATAATTGTAAGATTTACACATTCACTAAAACTTAATTTTGCTATTGTTGTTAAGTTAGGAGTGTCTGCAAATGTAAATGTAGCTAAAGAATTTAGAAAACTAAAGCAACTGTCATTTATGACTTCACAGCTGGCTGATATTCTGAGATGAGGTGAAGGATCAGTAACTTGAATAAGTGTTTTACCATCACTTGAGTAGCAGTTTGATTCAATATCTTTGTAAAAAATGTAGAAAAAGAGAATCATTTTAATTTTTTATGTTTTTACTGTTGTATTTTGGCCATTGTATAGTTTTATAATACCTGTTTTCTTAATTTATTGCTTATTCTTGAATTTTACTCGGATTTTCGAATGATAATAAACGTTCAAAGTTATAATTCTCAAATAGAGCTCTTGTTTTTAGTATTTACTACACTATTGAATTTATATTTTCATAAAACAATCTGACTGTGCAAGATAGGGGCAAAGACGTGATTGGATGTTGAAGTTTTAAAAAGACAATAAAAAAAAGATTATCAGAAATCAAACTTCAAATTGACTGTATTTATTGAGTATTGTGAATTTCTTATAATATTGAAATAATGATAAAATTTCGGATTGATGTATCATTGGACTCAGGTTTCAATTTCTATCGTTCTGATTTGTAAACTTTTTACAAAAATTCGACCTGGGCAAAATTCTATCAGTGGAAAACAAATTCTATTAGATTACCATTAAATTTATCTCAGCAATATTAATTAGCACAAAGCAAAGTTTTAAATATTAGTTGTTACAACTCATATTTTTATTGCAAAAAAGAACGAGATAGCATGCATTTCACTGAAGATGGTATTATGATATTTGTGACTAATTTATTTCCTGAAAATGCGACACTACCTATTTCAAGAAGTCCATTTGTCAATAGAATCTGAGAAACTTTTTCATAATTATCAAAAGCCCATGAATCTATTACTTTAAGTTTGCTGCACATTGTTGAAAATATTTGAAAGAATACCTTAGCTTAGATATTACATAGATTTTGTAATGAAATTTTATATAAAATGAAACTATTAATAGATGAAAATCAGGATCGCTAAATGAAATATGACCCAATGTAAAATATAAAATTTCATTCAAAAAATTAACATGCTATCAAAAGATCAAAGTCTGCCATAGCTTTAATGATTAGCTCGATTCTAACGGAACATTAAATTTGAGCATTTAAAAGCTTACGCAAACTTGTTTTATTTATTTTTACAATGATAACTGTTATCAAAATTTCTTGTGAATTTAAAATTGAATGGAATGCAAAATCAGATTTAGATTAATATATGATGCCTTCATTAATTAATCAACTGTATTATCCTAATATTTTAGCTGCGAGCTTATCCAATTTAGTTGTCTATCTATTTTTATTTGTTCACAAGCAATAGCAATAGTATGATTGTAAATACTAATATTGTATTCTCACAATTTTGATAGTGTTTTGAAATTTTTGTCAATAAATATATATCTATCCGAATTGTTTTAAATTATAAATTTTACCCATTTGAATTCATAAAAGAGATAAGTATTAATAAATAAAGTGTATTTTTATTTATATACTGTTAGGTATTTCTGAGAAACCTTTAGTTCTGCGTTTTCTCATGATGCAAATCACAATAACAGTTATTATGATTCCAACAACAACCATTCCGGCTGCTGCGATGCCAATTATAGCAGATAATGGGAATGAACCACATTTACTGTATTTGGAAACACTTTGACCAAATAACTTTCCTTTGTAATCTTTGTTCAAGATTAAACAGTCAATGTTACTTGGATCTGACATGTTTCCTGTGATTTCTGTCTTTCCTGAATATGTGAACTGACCAATTCTTATAAATTCTTTATTTCCTGTGTTCATTTCTTTGACATCACATGAAATGTTCATAAACTTAACTTTGCATTCTTTGCATGACTTTGATACAGGATAAGCTGTTATTTTGTCACTGACTTTGATCAAATTTGCTGTATAATTCGAAACATAATAAGTCAAATAGATCTTTGTGATTTCTGGTGAATTATATCTTATTTCTTTGAAGTTCTTGCTATGGTTGAATGCACAGTTTGCGATTTCTGCATCTGATGTAACTTCAACAAAAACTAAACTGTCCATATATGAAAAACACAAATTTCCAACAGATTGGAGAGATTTCGGAAGATGTATTTCTGTTATTGATGAACACAATGAGAATGAACGATCACCAATCTTTGTCAATGTTTCTGGAAAAGTAATTGAAGTTAATTTCTTGCAAGAATAGAAAGATCTTGATCCAATTGTCTCTAAGTTATCAGGTAATTGGATATTCTCTAAGTTTTCACATGATTCGAATGTTGAATTGCCAAGAACTTTCAAATCTTTTGGTAATTTCACAGTTTTCAAATTCTGGCATGATTTGAATATACCTGTACCAAATGTTGCTGATTTTCCTTTGAATGTAACACTCTCAAGTTTCTCACATGATGAAAAAAAAACTTCATTATTCTCGTAAACGAAAAAGAGTATTTGACGGAGTCAAATCCCCTCTCTCAAAAAGTGGACTTTACATGTCAAATTTTATATGCATGTAATGTCCACTTTTATGAGTTTTAGGAAGGAATTGGAGGCCATGAGTTACTGACATTTCATCAGTATCTCATAGCCTCCAATTCCTTCTTAAAATGGGAGAAACTTTGTCCGAATGTTAAACTATTCGGACAAAGTTTCTCCCATTTTAAGAAGGAATTGGAGGGTAAGAGATATACCATATGAATGTATATCTCTTACCCTCCAATTCCTTCTTAAAATGGGAGAAACTTTGGGTTAATTGCAAACTATTAACCCAAAGTTTGGACACTTTCAAGTGGAGATGGAAGGCTTTGGGGTATATATTAATACAATATACCTCAAAGCCTTCCATCTCCACTACAAATGTGAGAAACTTTGTCCGAATAGTTTAACATTCGGACAAAGTTTCTCCCATCTTTCAATGTAATTGCTACCTGTGAGGTACTGACTTGAAGTCAGTGCTTCACAGGTAGCAATATCCAAAAATTTAAAAACATTTTATCAGTTCGTTAGAGAACTAGAGCCTCCTAGGTACTGAACCAGAATCAGTGCCTAGGGGACTCTAGTGATCTATATAAATCTGAGAAACTTTGAGGAAATTGTTCGACATTTCCTCAAAGTTTCTCAGCAATTTAGCGAGGAATGTTCGTTATCGTGTAGATATTTATAATATATACATGATAACAAACATTCCCCGCTAAAAGATGTAAAATCTTATAAGAAATAATTGCAAAAGAATAACAAATTGCAATAAATTTTATATGAAACTGAACCTTATGAGGTGGTGATTCAAGATCACCGCCTCATAAGATTCAGTTTCAATCTCAAGTATCTCAAAAGTAAGGCTCTATTTTTTGCCATGTAAAGTGTCACTTTTCTGTCAAACCATTTTTATCGTTTTCGTTTACAACATTATCAATTGAATTTTTTTCTGAATTAAATATTATTGATTTAATTTGAGTTTTTGTGAATGCACTTGCATCAATGGAAACAATCGTTGATGGTAAACTGATTTCTCCTTCCAATCCTGATGATGAAAATGCATTTGAACCAATATATGTCAAACTATCGCCCCAATCAATATTGTTCAGTTTAACACATTGTGAAAATGCTTCTTTTGATATCTTTTTCACATGATTCAATTTAACTTTTTGTAAATTCTTCATTTGAACAAAAGTGCTGTCAAAAATTGTTTCCACTTTAGGAGGAATTGTTAATTCTTTGACTGATACACATCCATAAAATGCAGGTTCTCCAATGTACTCAACAGAGTCTGGAAATGTGATTGAAGTTAATTCTGTGCAAAAACAAAATGATTGATTACCAATATACTTTAATGTATTTGGAAGAGTAATTTGACTTATCTTGCAAGCATTAAATGCGCTTGATTCGATGGTTTCTAACGAATTTGAAAATTTGACATCAGAGAGTGCTGAACACATAGAAAATGCACTGGAATTAATCGATTTTACATTCTTTAAATCAATCTTTTGAAGTCTTCCGCATTTATAAAAACACTTTTTCGAAATTGTTGTCAAAGAAAAAGGGATTTCAATTTCAGTTAATGAATTGCATCCTTCAAATGCAGATTCACCTATATAATTCGTAACATCTGGGATATTAATTGTTTTGAGTAAAGAACAACCGAAGAAAGTGTTGGAACCGATCCTGAAAGATGTTGATGTTATTTGGAAGTTTACTGTTTGTAAGTTTTCAAGTGTTGAAAAAGAAAAATCACCAATTTCTGTAATTTCTCCTTTAATTGTAGCTTTTACTAATTCTGTTGGAATATCTTTGAAATCAGTGAATTTTCCTTCACCACTGATAGTGACTTCAGTCATATCTTCATTGAATTGGACATCTACTACAGCCAGAAGGCCAAAGACGAACCACATGAATTTAAATACTATGAAATTGAATGAGTTCCCTCAAAACAATTGAGTCCAGCAGATGAAGATAAAATCTTATAAGTTCATTATTACATAATAAGAATCAATATTAATCATTAAATTTTTTTCAATGATATGGTTCAGGAAGTTATGACGTCAAATGCCAATGTATTCCCTTTTTCAAAGATCAGGCCAATTTTTGATTTGTGTTATCCACATACATTTTTCCTTATACGTTATCAATAATTACACAAATATACGTATTCCAAGTTTTGATTTTTATAGGAAATTTTCCTAAACTTAAAAAATGCAATAATTTAGATTGATTTCCCTAGACTAAGATGTGTGTATTTTAAGATTTATAAATCCATGAAGCATTTTTTAACATTTCGGATTAAAATTCTAATTTTTTTTTCAAAAGTATGAGAAGTTATTGTCATCTATCTAATGTATTTCGGAATTTGATACAAAATTCATCAATTGAATGTATAAATCTGAAAGATTTTTTTCTCGAATATTTTTAATCAGAATTTAATTATTCCTCAGAAGACCTTACAAAGGGTCATATGTTTGTAATTGCAATAAACTAAGAATCATAGGAACATTTTCAAAAATATTTAAAAAAAAATATTATTATTATTGTTTGTTTTTTATAAATTCAATAAGCAATCCTAAAAGTTTTATTCCTATTTGATCTAGCGATCATGAAAGTCTTATCTTCTGTATGGCTGACCTGTATATCCTCCATAAGGCTGTCCTGGGTATTGTCCGTAAGGAGAAGCACCTGGATACTGACCCTGTCCGTAAGGTGGCTGCTGTCCGTAAGGAGATTGTTGTCCGTATGGCGGCTGTCCAGGATACTGAGACTGTTGGCCTGGATATTGACCCTGTCCGTAAGGTGGCTGTTGTTGGCCAGGATATTGGCCGTATGGCTGTTGTCCTGGATACTGAGATTGTTGTCCGTATGGATTTGAAGATGGCTGACCATATGGTGGCTGCTGTGACTGACCGTATGGTGGCTGCTGTGGTTGTCCGTATGGATTTGATGCTGGTTGTCCGTATGGTGGCTTATTATCAGGCTTATGTTGATCGCGTGTTGGCTGCTGCTGAGGAGCTTGGCTTCCGTATGGATTCTGTGATGGATGCTGGCCTGGTTGTTGACTTCCGTATGGATTCTGTGGTTGACCATAAGGATTCTGTGGTGGAGGAGCCATTCCGCCATGAGAACCTGTAGGTGGCTGCTGTGGATAGCCTGGAGCTGGTCCTGCTTGTGGTGGCTGGTATGGTGGCATTCCGCCTTGGGATGAGTGTGGAGATGTATGCCCTGGAGCTGGGTATGGGTTCTGCGGTGGCTGATTTGGAGCTGGATATGGGCTCTGTGGTGGCTGGTTTGGAGCTCCGTATGGATTTTGTGGAGGCTGATTTGGAGCTGGTTGTGGTGGATGGGAGTCAGCCTTGTTGTGATGCTTGCTCTTCTTCATCTTGCCAATAGCGCATGGTAAGTCAATCTTGTAAGGAACGCCATCAATCTCGGTTTCGAAGATTAAATCTTGAAGTTGAAGCTCTCCGCTATCTGTACTGAATGCGTAACTGCCCTTGAAGTTAAGCTTGAGTGGAATTTGTGTTCCATCGTGTCTGTGAGCTTCTACTGTAAGATTTACGCCTCCGATATCACCCTCTCTGATCTTTGGACCTTCTGTAGTTTGTGGAGGTGGAACTGGAGCACCATACTGATCTGCTGGTGGTGGTGGATGAGCATATGGATCAGAAGCGCCTGGTGGAGGTGGAGCTGGTGTTTTTGGTGGAGTATTTGGCGGTGGAAGTGGATCGGTTGGTTGAACATCATATGGATTTCCTTGTGGCTTGCTTGGAGCACCACCATATGGGTCGTTCATTGGTGGATAATCGTAATTTGGTGGAGCCTGTCCTGGCTGGGGAGCTGGAGCGGGTGTTGGAGATGGAGTTGGATTGACATTAAAATCAGGGTAACTGATATCTGGATAGCTTGGGTTACTCATTTTTTATTGTATGAATCCGGTGAACTCAAAAACCGACAAAAATTTTGCGACGTTGCAAAGGTTATCTTTCTGAAAAAAAGTGATAGTAAATTATCGTCACCACTATCGTTTGTTTTCACTAGTAAAGATAATCACTATAAATTTACGGGAAATTTTCTATCACTTTTTCGGTGAGATTTTTTGATTGGGTAGCATTTCATATGAATATGGCATGATATGCATATTTCTCAAGTCTTGAAGATATTCTAAAAGTGTTGACATGATATTTTGCGAAATTTTATTCACGATTTCAAAGAGAGTTAAATTCGTAAGTTGAATTAATAAGGCCCTGTTGATTTGTGTGTGTAGTTAGTTGATAGTGATAAAAGATACTGTGAATTTGCCTGTTAGTTGTTTATATTTTAAACTTGAGTTTTGTTCTAGTCATAAAGAATGCAATGTGTGAATAACTATGAGATTAAAAGCAAAGTTTCTTTCTTTTAGTTGAAGGTTCCATTATTTTTGAATTTTCTCAAGAAATTGATTGAAATAGCAGAGAGATAAATTAATGGAGATTATTGGTGCCAGGAGGGAATATATATATGCATTTGAGATTAACTGTAAGTAACTTTTTTTAGTAAATTATTCATCAAAAATAAAATATTAATAAAATAATATGATGATTATAAGCTTACTAATGAGTTATATAGGATTTAACATCCAAAATTGCAATTCATATTGTATTTTTAGATGTTCAATTGGCCAATAATATTCTCAATATTTGTGAACCAATTTTTTGAATGATATTTTTAATAATGACTTGTTAAATTTAAAAATCTTAATAAAGATTAGTGACTTTACAATATATTCGATTTGATATGGACTGAATATTGAAAAGACCATATTTTGAAATAATGATTTTTGAATTGAATATTTTGATATTATTTAAATTTTACTGTTTGGATCATATTAACCATAAATTTTTTCATCTCATTTGAAGAAATAAATTCAAATTGTATTACAATTCAGCAACACATTAAGAAATAACAAAAACTTTCAAAGACCATTTTATTTGTTTGAATTTCTATTTTATTGAAAATTATCCCAAACTGCGTCATAAATTACTATAGGATAAATGCTCTTTCTAATTTTATTTGATGAAATCTATCAAAACACTCCACGTAATTATAGCAAAAAACTTCGTCCTGGCCTATATAATATAGAAATTCAAGGAGCAACCGGAGGTAACGGATGCAAAAGTAATATTAATACCGATACGCACGGAGGAAATGGCGCAAACATAAAAGCGCAAGTGATGATAAGAGGAGAAACAGAAGTTAAATTTAAAATTGGAGAGAAACCAGAAACATTTTGCAATAAAGGAGTGGCAAATTCTGGAGGCTGGCCAGGAGGAGGATTAGGTGGTGAAGATATGCAATCTGGTAATGACTGGGCAGGCGGTGGCGGTGGTTATACAGAAATGACAGTCGATGATTACACAATAATGCTAGCAGGAGGTGGTGCAGGAGGCTGTCGGCCTGATTCAGAAGGCCCCAATGGATTTGGTGGGGGATTACATACTTTTGGTGGTTATGACAAAAATAATAATCCAATTTTAATTCCTGAAACAGAACGCACAGAAGATTCAAGAACAGGAGAACAAGGAACATACGCAAAATACTATTGGCCAGGAGGCGGAGGTGGAGGAGGCTGGCGTGGTGGAATTGGAGGTTATAAATATTCTCCTATCAACGATCAACACTGTGTTGCTTTTGGAGGATCTTCGTATATAAACGATACAGACAATTATTGGTTTTTAGGGACACCTGTTGTATTAAATGGGTCTCAAACTACTCATACTGGACATGGATATTTGAAAATTACTATTCTTTATGAATGCTCAAAAGATTGTTATCATTGTATTGAGATGCTGTTGGATCTGTGTCGAGCAACTCCAGAACTTGATCATAGGCAGCATTTGCTTCTTCCTCATGTTCTGCATCTAATTTGAAGACTAAATCCTTCATCAAATTATAGAATTGTTCAAATTTTTCTTGAGAAGAAAACTTATTTGATTTGCGAAGAATTGCACGAAGAACATGTACTCCGCACCAAAGTATTTGAGCTTGTGGAATGCTTTCTTCTATTGCTTGAGCTATCTGTGGAGCACAGTCCATGCTAATGTATTCTGGCTCAATTGTTACCCATCTGAGATAGGCGCACACGCAAACTTGAATGTTTTGATAAGTGTCTGGTTGACAAAAGAAATATAAAAAAGGGAAAATGTGAAAATCTTTGATTTTGCCAGTAAATGCATACAATGGAATGTTTGATCGCAACAATTTATAGGTGCTGTCTATATGAAATGTCTTGATACTATGCGCATAAGCTTTGCCTTCAAAAGGCGCGTAATAGAAACACATATTATTGTCTGAGACTTCAAATGCAATGAGATCATCTGGAGATTTTTCTTGTACTGTCTGAACAAAGATTTGCAATGACACAACATCGTCAGGAGAATATCTAGTTTGAAGAGCATGTATTCTCTCTGCAAATCGTTTGATTGCACGTGGTTTTTGAGCGTACATCTCTGGAATGGACGGACCCGTAAGAGGAATTTCAAGATCTTTGAATGCATTTAGCTGTGCTATCGCTCTTTGATTGTCATCTGTTTGGAAGTAATGTTCTAAATATTTGCGATAAAAGACAGACGAATATTGACTTTTGTCATTTGGGGCGGAATGATCATGTTCTTCAACTATTTTGATTAGTTTGTATTTATTTTGATCCAAGATTGCAACATTAAAATGTGCAGGACATTTTGGATATTTGCAGTGGAATGAAATCTGAGATCTTTCTTTCCTGACACGTTCACCATATCCATACTGTGCTTGTATTTCTTGTTTAACTCCAAATTTACAAAGATCCATAACAGTAAAGATAGTTTCTTCTTCTAATTCCATTTGAAATTGAAATGAAAATTAAAAATTCAGAAATTTGAATAGATTTGGTCTGTAATTAAATGAGAATAGCAGTTTGTTCGTCATTGTTTGAGGCAAGAGTATTATAGGAATATTATATGATGGATTTGAGTTGCATATAAAGAGTGCAAAAGGATAAAGAGAGAAATTTTGTTAGATTAAATTATTAAATTTTAATTCTTTATTTTTTAGGATTGTTAGCTTTGTAAGATTGCTTTCTCACAAGAGAAAACAAATATAAGGTTTAAGCTGTATGTATTAAAGTTATAAATATTTGATTTTAAAAAAAATCAAGATTTTAAACTTTAAAGGTATTAATTATGATTATCTTTCTTTAGCTTTGCATGCTGTATGCTACTTTTGGAAACTGCTCTATTGTATTAGAATGTTTTTAAATTTTGCACCTAAAAATGCGTAATATTAAAAATTAAGGTATTAATTATGATTATCTTTCTTTAGCTTTACATGCTGTATGCTACTTTTGTCTTTGAGACATTCCATGATTTAAGTTAAGAAGCTTTAAAAAAAATGCAAAAAAAATTGAATACTTTACTGGCTGGGCAAATTTGTCGCCGCCCCTTATTTTTGTTATTTTTGAATAAAAAATTTTATTTATCACGAAAAAATAGCTCTTTTGTAAAGAAACGCGCCAATTTCGATGCGAATAAAGTATATCTAACAAAACAATGTAAATTTGCTTTGATTGATATATTATATAAAAATAAAATAGATTTGAGCATTTGATGCGTTATGCCCTACGTTGTATGTATAAAATAAGTACTTTATTTACTAGTTATATGTTCTGAATATAAGATATTAAAAATTACATTTATAAAAGCTTACCATATTTTTCTTTAATTAATGTTTTTCATAATAGGTAATGTTCTTATTTACGTTATAAAGTATGATATTTACAAATATTAAGTATTAATTATTAGATACAAACAATAATGATAAAGATAGAAATGGTGATGAATAGCGATGTAATTATAGAAAACGTAAGATATATGAATTCAAAACAATCAGAATTTAGGTTGCTAACCATATATTGCGAAAAGGTGTTGTATATTGAGCTAAAATTATGATTATATTATAAAACTGCCACTTAAAGCATAACGATACTGTTCCTTTTTCATTTTAATCTAATATGATATTAATTACTTTCGATTTAGCTATAAAATGATGATATGTTTTCAAAAATTATATTTTCAATCTGTATAATGCATAATTCACCAAATGTCTCATTTTTGATATTGCGAGATATTTTTGCTATCGGTTTCGCAATTTTGACACAATAGCAAGAGGGTTCTATAAGCATGACTATCGAATTTTTTTTTAGGTTTCGCAAAACAACCAAAAATTAATTAGCTATAAAAGTGATAATTTTAGCAAAACGAAACCCTTATTTGTAAAAATAGAGTTTTTGAAATAATAATTGATTTTTGAAATTATTTTGGATCAAAATTAGAATGATTTAGGCAAAAAAAATTGTTAAATGTAATTATAAATGTTGGGCTGATATGTCTGTTCGCCTGTTTCCATCTAAAATATGCAGAATTGGACTTGAATTGATGATTTTTTTTATTGAGTTGAATAAATTTATTGAAACCTGGTGAACAAAATTATATTATTAATTATCTAAATCTAAATAAATAATTTTACAAATAAAGATTTTCTCAGAAATTTGACTTTTGTGAGCAATTGAAAAATAATTTTTCATTAAATTTTTGATAAGATTTTATTTTGAATTAAATTTTTGAATTAAATATTTTTTACACATTTTTCATATATGCTGTATAAAGTTAACTAATCGTATATTTATAATTTACAAAATTCAAATTAATTTAGTTAAATTATTTAGAGTTCAAAATTTGATGTGAAATAATGATATAAATAAAATTATAAAATGACAAATATAATTAATCGTATATAAATTTCAATATGTCAGGAAAATTATTCAAAATCACGTCATTTATCATTTTCTCTATCAATGCGAAGTATAATGGCATTTAATGAAATTGTTCATGAAACTCCGAATACCTACAATTATACTCTTCAGCCTGGTTTGTATTTAATCGAAATTCAAGGTGCTACTGGTGGACTTGGATGTGATAATGGAGAACCTAAAAATCCTGGTGGAAATGGAGCCAATATCAAAGCAAAAGTTATTATAAGAGGTGGAACTGAAGTTTATTTTAAAGTTGGAGAAAAGCCTAGTACCAATTCTTCATGTGAAAGTAGAAACCCTGGAGGTTGGCCAGGTGGGGGATTTGGTGGCGATGAATCAAACACAGATTATGAAATTTGGGAAGAATGGGCAGGTGGTGGCGGAGGCTATACAGAGATGTTGATTAATAGAGATACAATAATGCTAGCAGGAGGTGGTGCTGGCGGATGCAGGCCAGCCAGCCAACATGGAAGTGGCTTTGGTGGGGGATTACACACATTTGGTGGGTTTAACAATGAAGATGAACCCGTTTTAATTGATGAATCTGAAAGACACGCAGAAACACGAGTAGGTGATAAAGGGAAAGACCAGGGAGCTTGTTGTTATCCAGGAGGTGGGGGTGGTGGGGGCTGGCGTGGTGGATTTGGAGGCTGGAATTATATTAATAGTGAATCGCATTGTGCTGGTTGGGGAGGTTCATCCTATATTAATACTATAGATGATAATTATTGGTTTTCAGAAACACCAATCGTCTTAGATGGATCCAAAATTAATCATGATGGCCATGGATATTTGAAAATTACTATTCTTTATGAATGCTCAAAAGATTGTTATCATTGTACTGGTAAAAATACTTGTGTGAAATGTGTTGAAGGATCGAAATTATATCAAAGCAAATGTTATTCATCATGTGAAGAAACAAGTGAAAAGACATTTGACAACGGGAATGATCAATGTGAACTCTGTAGTTCAGACTGTGGCACATGTAGTGGATCATCGACACGCTGCACATCATGCAAAGACGGATATGTTTTGAACGAAAACAATCAATGTATATTACATGTTCCAGAAGAAGAAAATAATGATGATAATGATAACAATCCATCATCTAGTTCCACATCATCCTCCTCAACAGAAACAGAATCCTCTTCCAGTTCTAGTTCTAGTTCAAGTTCAGAATCTTCATCAGATTCTAGTTCATCATCGAGTGAATCTGAGACATCATCACTCTCAACTGAATCTAGTTCTTCATCTGATTCTAGTGAAACTAGCTCGAAGTCGATTGAAACTCCATCATCAATCCTCAATTTAGGAGATAGTAATTCATCCACGGAATCTAAAGGTAAAGAGAAAAATGACACAATACCAATCATTGTACCAAATTCAGAATTAGCCAATGAAGCCGAACAGAAAAAGAAAATGCAAATAATATCAATTGCATCAGGTGTTGTAGGAGGTCTCATATTGATCCTTATTGTTGCTGTTATAGTGATTTATATTCTTACGCGTAAGGGAAAAGATGAAGATTCAGTATCAGAAGAAATGGTTGAGGAAACTGTTATTTTTTCATCTGATATGCAGCCACATGTTACCATTGACAATCCATTATGGACAACAAGTGTTTTGGGTCAGAGTGATGACATTTTCAAAGGCGATTTTAGCGATTCAGAAGTAGCTGTTGGTTATATTGTCCATCACGAATAATTTGTTCTTTTTGTATTTATGTTAGTAAAAAGGCTTGTTCATTTTATCCAAATAAGTGAAATTGAAAATCATATTGGAAAAAGAAAGTTATTTCTAGAATTTTCTTAGGAAATATTAAATCATCCAAAGAAATACTTCTAATTTTGCAGCGATTGATGAATTATGTTTACAAAAAAAATAATTAAAAATCTACATTAAGAAAAAAAGCAGCCATGGTGGGACTTGAACCCACAGTCTTCTCCTTAGAAGGGAGACGCAGTATCCATTTTGCCACATGGCTTCACATGTATAAAATAAAAATTGATTTTATAATGAAATCACTCAAATTGAAAAATATCCTTTCTGATTCTCTTTAGAAAAAAATATACCCAATTTTTGTTAGAATCAAAAATATACAAGGAAATTAGCATTATTCCTTTCTCCAAAGAATATGACACGTAAATCAGAATTTACATCCTTTTATATAAAAGAATTGTCAGAAATTTTTGATGACATTACTTTTCCTTATTTCGACATGGTGGATTCAAAATGACGGTAAGGACCAGCTCGGAATTGAAGGAGAAGACATTAACTGGAAGTTAAATTCAAGTTACACTGGAAAAGGCGTCAGAATCGTCGCAATGGGTGATGGCGCAAGACTAGATCATAAAGTATATGCTGATAGAGCCAATAAAAAGCTATTTGTTAATATTATTGAAACAGTCAATTACAAAGAACCACCGAATTCTTCAATTCAATATCAACGCGAGAATATTTCACAATCATCACTTGCTTTAGCTGCAGGATCTGGTATCTTCCCTGGTATTGCTCCGGATGCTACTGTTGGCGCGTTTTATTTCTTTGATAATCAAACACAAGCTGAAGACTTACAATATACGATTTGTTACAATAGTGATCAATGGGATATAGCAATTTTATCATATCAGTACGATTTATGCCACGGCGGAAGAAAGTTTTGCGCTTATCCAGAGCCTGACTCTCTTAAAGAGGAAATGGTTGGAAAATGCTTATTCAATACAAACGGAAAAACTCGTCCAAAGCTAATAGTTGTTCCTGTTGAGCACAATCAAGCTTCTGACGTCTTATTTACTCCTCCCGCGAGATGGCCACTTGTTTTCACAATAGCAGGTGTTAACAACAGAGGATTACCACTGGATCATGGAAGCGAAGGTGCCGGAGTCTTTCTTTCATGTCCTGTTGCAGATAGAGCTGCAATCCCTGGCGCAGGCGTTGAAAGCGATGAATCATTGACATATAACTTTACTACACCAAATGCTTCAGCTGCAATATTCGCTGGAGGCTTGGCAGTTCTTCTGGAAGCAAATCCAAATTTAACAATCCCAGATTTACTCTTTATTCCAGCCATGACGGCAGATCAAGTACAACCAGACTCACTATTATGGAACAATAACTCGTTTGGTCTCAAATTCAACAGAAGAGTCGGTTTCGGAAGATTAAATCTCGGAAAAGCCGTAGAATACGCTGAACACTGGACATCTCTTGGTAATTTCTCAAGTAAGTCAAGTGTATATGAAGTAGACCTTGGAAAAGAAACGAAAACCATGGGAGATTCGAAGAATTTCACTTTGAATTTCAATACTGGAAACGATGACGATACTGTTTTATTTATCCAAATTGATTTGCAGGGGGCACAACTTAGTTTCGCATCGTTAAATCCCCATATTTTGTCTCCTGATGGATCAGATTTCGAATTAAAGATTTTGTCTGAGTCGGACAGAGAAATGAAGGTCAAGAATATTCAGCTCCCTGCCTATGCATTCCTTGGCGATAGAGTAAATGGCAATTGGACCTTGGTTTTCAACAAAATTGACGACGCATTTCTCGGATTAGTCACAAAAATCAATATTACTATATTCTACGCACATAATCGTCCAGACACGAACCTTATAAACCAAACAAGAAAGGCAAATCCCTTCAAGCCGCTTCCATATACAAATGTTTTAATTTTCCCTGACAATCCGCCACCAATGATAGCAGCACAGTCTTGGGATGTCTCAATTAAATTTAACGAAACATACAAAAACTCGAATTATACATTAATGTTCTTACAAAATGAAAATGGAACGGAAAGAACGAAAGTCAAAGCCGAATTCAGCAAAGATTACAAACAAATACATCTTAATTACGTTCCATCTGTATTTAATCTCACAGAATTGTACTTTGTCGTTGAAAGTTTGGATCCATTGTATCCTTACACGGCAACAACGAAAGTTAGTTACATAAACAACTTCAAAGAAGACGGAATTTACCTTTTAGAGGCTCATCCTGACAATGATTGCACTCCAAAAGGAAATATTTCGGATACTCCGATCAAATCTGCAGAAATTCTCTTCGAAAATCCATGTATTGTCGCGTACTACGTATTGCACCTCAATAGAGTTACAGATGATGGCTACAGTTCCTCAATTACGCAATCAATTATTACATCAGAGAACCAAGTGATTCTGAATAGAACATTCATCAGAAATCTTGGTATGGTTCAATGGAAATCCATCGTTCCTTCAAACAGAGCCTTCAAATTCCAACTTTCACCTTCATCTTCAGGAAGACATGAAATGTTTAGCCCAATAACCGTAGAAATTTCGGTTAAGGAACAATACGGACCATACAAACCCGCAATTTCGCCATTCAAACTCTGGAATTTGATTTTCATGATTTGCTTGTTTGTTTTCAGTTTTATCCTCTTGTTCAAGATATTTTGGACAAAAGGTATCAAACTCGAAGGATATACAAACGCTGATGAAGTCGCTCTTATTTAATTTTAATTTTATTTTAATTATTGTTATAAATCGTTCATTTTTACTCTTTTCATCTAATATATATTTCTTTGCTTTTACTTATTTTGAATGGATTCTTTAAATTTCCTAATTATGATTCCGAATTAACTTTTTTCCAAGTAATGGAGACATAATTTCATCAAATTTGTATATATTGAGTTTCTGTTAGTTTATTGTCAATCCAGGAACTTTAGAATATTAAATTCCGATATGAGATTTTAATAATAAAAGAATTGAAGCATAGTGACGTAGCATTTTTGTTTTATATTCGAAAATTCCATTGTCAACTATGAGTTGATACATTTGTTTCCATTGAAATAGCATTGCAGCTTTTGATTTTGTTGTAGAAACGAAGAAATAGTAATAGAAACATGATATCTATCTACTATTCTGATATAGAAATCTTAAAGCTGTCTTCATTATTTATAATTAACGTATATAATTTAGTATATAAATCGTAAGTTAAGGTTGTGTATTAAAATTCTGTTCGCCTATCTTTATGGGGAAATAGATGAAATGCTCGTTTATATCATTTTCGCAAACTCTAGTTTTGTATTTAATGACTTGATTCAATTTTAAGTAATTTTTTTGTTAGTAACTGACAAACATGCGTAGAATAGTGTGATCATCGGAACTTTGTCGGTACCTACTCTGACTATGACTGTGCTCATAGCACTTATGATTGTCCAAAAATATTGCCGCAATATGGAGAAAAAGTGATTTTTTTAAAAAAAATTTACAACTATTCAAACCTACCCCCTTAATGTTAATTTTTAATACTTCTACAGATAGATAAAGCTAGGCAATATCCGAAATCAAAAAACTAGAATAAAAATTGTAGAAACTGTCACTTTTCAATATACCGGGAAAGTGAAGTGTCAGTTATCCACAGTATCACTGTGATGGGAGAAATCAATCATATCATAAAAGAAAATGCTATGAGTATCAGAAGTTGAACAAATGATAAACCATATTCTGTCTTTTGTAATTGTTCGAATTACTATTGAATTTTTTGTGAACGTGTGAAAATTGTAAATGTAAGGAATTTTTGATATACGATAATTTCATGAAAAGTTTACTAAAAGAGAGAAAAACTACAATTATTAAATTGTTGTGAGACCGAAGAATGCATCATCATTAAATTCGAGTGTATCGAACAAGGTGTTGAAAACCTCATCTACAAGATGCTTGTTTTCAACATCGTTTATTTGAAAATCGTTGCTTAAATCATGTGTATCAGAAGAACTCGAGTCTACTGAGTGATAATCAACTAATGGACTCGATTTTCTAGTATTTGTGGTATTAACATCAATGGTTAAAACGTTATCAAGCGTAGCGTTTCTGCGAATAAGTTTCTTGTACTGAGATTTGACTGAAACATATGTTCTGTTTTTCATCATAGAGCTGATTTTTGTCCATTTTGTGCCAATTTGTTGAACTTTCTCTAAAATGAACTTGTTTTCCTCTGGAGTGAACTCTGATCTGTTAACATGATTATCAAGATAGTTAAGGAAGCGTTCTTTGCACTGGCGAACATTTCTGTTTCCCATTTGTTGTGCTACAAACTGCCAGTTAACATCTTTCTTTCTGCCGAAGAACTTGACTAACTTGATTAATTTCTCATCTTCCTTCTTGCTGAAGAGCTGCTTTGCACCCTTTACTTTTTCTCCGCATGCCTTGTCTGCTTGCATTGTTTGAATAATGATTTATTTAACAATTTGTATACTATTGATTTATTCATTGAAAAAAATTAATAAGGCTCATTGAATTTTGAATTGTGAAAAGTATTTTGAATACCCGTCTTTAGATTTGTAGGGTGATGTAAAATTGACATTTGACGTATTTATTAGAAACAGCTAAACTTGCTAGAATTAAAGTTTTCTCAGTTTTATGTTTTATCACAAATTTTTTGAGATGAACCTTTATAAGGATGAAATGTTCAGCTATATATCTGAATTTGATCAATAGTAGATAAAGTCTCGACCAAATGTCTCTCAATTTTTAGATAATACGAAATTATTGCCAATTCAATTTCCAGCATATTCAAAAAATTTTCATCGTTTATGATGTCCTATATTTTGTTCTTACAATCACGATTTTACGAATTTAAACTGTTACTGGGAATTGAATATATTCTAAATTGAGAGCTATTAGGTCACGGGTCACTCTCAATTTTCAAGAGATGTGGCCTAGCTTCATTTCAATTATTTAAAAACACTAAATAGTGAAGAAATAAGCAGCGAATTCCAGATACATTAACAATAATTAAATATCACAAAAAAAATTTATCCATTATTTTTATTGAAAAGTGTAATTAACTCGATTTTGTAATTGTTAGAAATACATGAAATGCATTATATTCATAGCATTAATTGGTTCTTCACATATTCAAGAAGTGGCTGATTTTTGAAAATTTTATTTATTGAAATTGATTTAATGAAATCTATGACAATGAGTTTACTGATTTCTTTCATTTATTGGAATTATTTTCACAAATTTATGAAGTGATAATAAACTACTAGAGCTAAAACATTGTAAATATGTCTGATGCCCTATCAAAAACATAGCCAAAATTTAAGAACCTCAAAATCAATTTACACATCTCGATATCAAATGGCATAAATTGAGATGTTTTACATTAATTTTGATATAAACTTAATTCACTAGATAAAACAAAGCAGGGCTATCTATTTGTTTACATATTTCAGATACTTTTTTCATAGTAGTATATGAGTGCGGGTTGTGTGACTTTTTTTGTAAACGTAAGAATTCATACAATATTGAACGATTTTGTATCATTTTTTTTAACATATGAAGTAAAAAATGTATGATTCTTACGGTTTTTATTCTTACGTTTTTGAATAAATCAAGATTTAAAAATTTTCAAAATTGTAAGACATTTACACTCAGCCCAAACATAATGAAATAAAATTTTTTTTAAAAATAAACTTTAATTTTAAAATAATTTATTTCATCTTTTATAAAAGAAGCTATATATAGATGATGTCAGATATTCCACGATTAATTAAACATTGTTTAAATCCTGAATGGAATCAATGGAGTCATAATCAAAGACCTCATAAACGAGAAGAAGAAATTAGAAACTAATGATTATTTGAATTTATGATATCAATTATCTGATTTATTCTTTCTTCAATCTCTTCTATTCTTTTTGTTAAATCATCAATTTTCATTAATGAGGTGATTCTTGATTGAGGAATAGATTTCAAACTAACCACCCCCTTTATTTTTGAAATTTTGAATCCATCAACTTTAAACATTTTATTCAATTTACATGTTGTCAATTCTTCAAATAATTTTTTATTATTGGCATAATAGTCATTAAATTCTTCAACAGATGAAAAAATTTTTATTTCAGTAATTGGTTTAACAACGTTTATTTTTTGTTGAACATTTTCACTTTCATTTATTTCTTCCTCCTCTGTTTCATTTATTCTTAAAATCGGTTTCATTTATCATTAAATAAAAATTAAAATATAAGTGATGAAATATATTTTTTAATTAATATTAAATCAGAAATGGCGGCAGGATTCTTTAAAAAATTATGGGATGGAATTAAGAAAGCTGCGGGTTGGGTTCATCAAAAGATTATTAAACCCATTGCAAACTTTTTGGCACCAGTAGCGAAAACGGCAGGAACTATCATAGGTGGAGTATTAGGTACAAAAGCAGGTAATCCAGCGATGGGAGCACAAGCAGGTAACGCAATTGGTGGAATAGCTGAAGGAATACTTAATAAAATAGGGGGTAGATAGTGGAAAAATAAATAAATATTATTTTTATCTTAGTATTGGTTGTAGTCTTTGATAAACTTTTTCTCCTTTATTTAATATTTCTCTTATTGGGGCAGCTTTTGGTGTTATTGATTCAGCAACGTCACTAATTGCTTCTTTATTCTTAAATATCCAATTTGCTCCTTTCTTCATTGTTTCCCAAACTTTACTCGCTCCTCTTTTTACTTTATCCCACAGTTTCTTAAATATACCTGCAGCCATAGTTGATTATTTCATTAAAATTAAAAATTCATTTTCATCTTTTAATTTTGATTTTTTATTTATTAATAAATGACGACTAATTATTTAGTGCCAAACACTAAACCGATTAATGGAAATGTGTTTCATTCATTCGAAAAGATAAATGAAATATTCGCAAAGAATGACGGTAGAAGATATTATAGAGAACTTGAAAGTTCATGCTATGACTCTGATGCTCCATATTTTGATGATAAACAAACTCATTTAAGAATTACAAATCCGGCTCATGATGTGAACCAATTAGGTGACACATATATTAAACGCAAAGTTAAAGCAACTCTAGTTTCAAATAAAGCTTTCACATGTGATGCCGCTTTTAAATGCATGCGTTTATTCGTTGGTTACAAATCATCAAATCAAAGCTTTAAACAATTAGAAGTAGAAACTGAAAGAGGTGATGCCAGTTATCTTCAAATGGATTGCGCCCGTGAATCTTTCGCATTTGCAACATATAAACCAAAATCAGAAAGGAAAGTTAAAAAGTTTGTTCATTCATTATATAATAATGTTCAAAAATATGATAACTCGGTATGTGGTAAATATATTGACCCTTCAGAAGTTTTCAAGAAAGCAAATGAAGAAGTTGATATCACTTTTGATATGATTATTCCGGTAAATGATTTGTTAGCATTTCAGGCGTTCAATGATTATCCTAAATCATTTGGTGAAATCATTCTTAAATATTATGTTTTCAGGGATACTTTAGTATTTTGTCAGGTTGACCCGTTAAGAGTTGCTGATTTACAAAATTACGTTTATGAAAAGATAACTGATGAAAATTATGAAAAGATTATGAATCATGTTTATAAATATGATCGCAAATTCCAACAAATCGGACTTCCTGCCAAATTAATTACAAGCTTAGCCGCTACATCTGCTGACGCAACAGTTGATGACGTTATTATTTCATGCACAAAGATGGAAGTTTTAGAGGATAAATGCATTACACCAGGATATGGTTTAATTGAAGAATCAGTTAAAGCAATACCACGTTTATTTAGTAAGGAAGATCCATTCATGATTCCAGCTCAACATATTGACGTTCGTTCACTAAATGGAGGTTGCATCACTCCTGAAGGTATTAGCTCAGATTTCTCATACGCTCTTCATAATGTTACAGATGTTGTGTTAGCATTTCCGAAGAATGCAATGCAAAGAACGGTTTTAGAAAATCCAATGCTTCGAGGTCTTCAGGTCACTATAGATTCCAGAAACTTCCCCGATCAAGCGATGACCACAGTGGGTGACATATTCTTTACACGTATGCTTCAAGCTTCTGATTTAGATGGAGTGAATGAATGCACGGAAGAATACGAGGACTCATTAACTAGACCACTGAATGATGATAATGGCGTGCCATTAGCTAGAACATGGAAAGACCAAACTTCATTCTTATGCACTATCCAGTTCAACGTGATGGAGCGGGTATATTCTTTGATGGATTAGAAACTTTCAACTCACAAGTTACAGTACAAGTGAAAGCTTATCCAATCATTCAGGGTGAAAATGACACTTACTGTTCAAAGGTGACAAATCCTCCTCAGGTTTGGTTTACTAGGACTACATATTGGACATGGACACCGGATGAAGGTTTGAAATATCATCCAACAGGTACACCACCACAGTATAGAAGTTCATATGATGAAATATTGATGAATAGAAATGTTTAAAATTATAAATTTATTTTTGATTAAATGGATTTAAATTCATCCACCCCTTATGAAGAATTAGCAGGAGTATATAATACATACATAGATGATATGATTAATGAAGCATTGAGTGATAATAGAAATGCTCTATCTAAGGAAAAATTAATGAAAATTACATATTCTGAATGTTACTTAAATTCAATCACTGCAGCAATTGGTAAACAAAATAAAGGTAAAACATTAACGATATTAAAACAAATTATCATTATTGCTAACACTTCCCCCATTCACATGTGTTAATTTATATCAACCGTTCAGGTTCACCTTCAGATGATACATTTGAATCTTTAAAGCATTTAATCAAAATTCCAATTATTTATTTATCACAAGAAGAAGCAGAAGATTATTTAAAAAACTTTTTAATGTATAAAGAATTATATAATACAATCAAGAAGCAAGGATTAGAGGATAAAATTATTGATAAACAACGGGATGAATTATTTGAAACACTTTCTATTTCAAATTTTGATAGAGAATTTTTGCATTCACTCATTTTTCTAGATGATGCAGTGAAATCAAAACTAATAACAAATGAGAAATCATATTTTAATCAGTTATTAACTCAATGTCGACACATTCAGTGTTCATTCTTTATGGCTGTTCAATATTTCAAAGCATTAAGCACAAACATTAAATCAAATCTATCAACACTTTTCATTTTCAGTGGGTTTAGTCGTCAACAGTTGAATGTTATGCTTTATCAAGTGAATTTACCAATGAGCATTAATGAACTTTACACACAATATCAACAATTAGGTGAACATGGAAAAATAATAGTTGATTTAAATAAAGGAAGTGTTAAATTTGATTAACTTTTTATAATTAATTTTTATTTTTTATTTATAATTAAACATGACAGAAATAGCAAATCTTCTACAGGTTCCATTAAAACAAGGGACAAACAAAAAGGGTACATATAATAGAACT